CTTCCTTTTAACTGCCAGTGGGGTTGGAGCTGATTGGGTGGGAGCTTGGCTGTGTTCTGATTGGGTGGAGGTGTGTTCTGATTGGTTAAGGAGCCTGGCTGTGCTCTGATTGGATGGGGGGTTCGCTGTGCTCTGATTGGATGGGGGAGTGTTCTGTTTGGGTGGGGGCTTTGTTGTGCTCAGGTTAGTTTGAGTTGCATATATATTGCTGTGTTCTTCCATTTTTGCCTCTATTTAAACCCAAGCACGGGTTTTAACGGCTAGAGCGCAGCTCAGCAATTAAAATTACGCCCCTGTGCAAATCTTCACAGGAAATAGGTTTCCCGTAGTGTAATAACAGCGTATATGTTCTAAGGCTCATCAGCCCAATCCAGCAGACGACGACTTTGAGAAGGAAAAAAAAAAATACTTGAAAAAATATTTAGGTGGTGGAAATGTACTGTGTTGTTTGCATTGCCCTTCGTGTTCCGGTGTGCAAAATGGACTTGGTCAGAGGTCTTGTGCTGTATTTCTTTTTTTTTACTTCATTCTGTGAACATTTATTTTGAGAAACCTTGTTACAGCCGGGCGGGCTAGAGAAGCCCAAGGACAGCCCAAAGGCACCGTGCGCTGGTTGGCAAAAGGATGGACGTTTTTCTGGCTGGTTCCCGCAAACGGATTTGGGCCCAGTGGTTTCATCAAGCGGAGAAGCTCCCCTCCGGAAGCAGCTTGCGACGGAAGAGGCCGGCCGTTGGAAAAACTCTGGATTTCTGCCCCCCCCTCCTTCAAAACCGTGGAGCCTGTTCCTGCGGACTGTTTTTTTTTTTTTTTTTTTGCATTGGATGCGCTGTGGTGGGACAGTCTTCGGACAGCTACTGTAACTGTAACCTTGTAGCCGAGAGGAAAGTTAAAACGGGTTCTCGCTCCTAAAAACACCCAGATCCAGTTGATAACGTTCCAGATTGGTGCTCTAGATTGGTGCTCTTCTGCCAGATGAAGCAGCTCGTTCCCTTTCCATCCTGTCGGGGTTCACAGGGTTACCTAGCGGTAAAAAGTTAGCTCCATTAGATTGAAAAAGGAGGCTTAGTCCTGTATAGGAAGTCGTTTGGGGCAAGTTAGCAACGCCCCCTGTTTCTTTCTTGTTCCCAATTCCCTCAGGAATTACATGAACGACAGCCTGCGGACGGATGTCTTTCTGAGATACCAACCGGAGACTATTGCGTGCGCCTGTATTTACCTTGCTGCTCGGACTCTTCAGGTGAGTGTATAAAATCAGGTCACGTTGTTTGGGGGACCTTTGTGTTTCCTAGCAGGATTGCTCTTTTGCTGAATATTTTCACCACAAAGAAGAAGGGGTGGTGTCAGCCTGTTCTCCAAAGCACCTGAAGGCCGGCAAGGAACAACGGAAACAAGGATGGAAGCAGCCAAGAACTAAGGAGAAATTTCCAGACAGTGAGAGCAACTAATCAGTGGGAAAGCTTGCCTCGGGTCCTTTTGGAGTCATGGCCTTGACGTTAGGTCAACCCTAACACCCAAGGAAGCCATCTTGGGAGTTTGAAAGCTTGCTGTGGTTACTATAACTTGTCACAAACACTACAAGGTGTCACCCACGGGGGGGGGGACCTTGTAAAAGGGAGGCCCGTGGCTGCTCCTGGTTGATGAACCCGTTGGTGCTTTTTCTTTGCAGATTCCGCTCCCAAATCGTCCTCACTGGTTCCTTCTCTTTGGGGCTATCGAGGAGGAAATTCAGGAGATCTGCCTGAAAATTTTAAAACTCTACACAGTGAAGAAGGTACGTGGCTGCCTCTGGGGCAAGATTTCCGAAATGTGAAGGTGACAGGTTGATTAGCCCACTCTTCTCCCCTTGATCAGCTTGTGTGGGAAACGGCCATGTCCCTTTTTTCCAGCGCTTCTGTAACTTTGAGCGGTCACCAAACAAACTGTTTGTAAGTTGAGGACTGCCTGTACTTGACATTCTTTTGTCCACCTTTCTTCCCCATCCACCTCTCGTCGTCGCCTGCCTTTCCTTTCTGCGCAGCCTTTTCAGCTAAGCAAAGCTTCTCCTAAAGCCGTGCCTCTCTCTTTGCCTCGTCAGGTTGACCTGGCCGTTCTGGAGAGCCGCGTTGAGCAGCGGAGGCTGGCCATGGAAGAGGAGAAAGCTCAGGCCAAAGGCCTCGTGCCGGATGGAACTCCCCATCTGGCAGTGTCGGGTTTTTCTCCCGTCCCCAAACCAGGTGGGTGTTTCCCGTCCTGAACATAAGGGGGGAGGGAGAGGCTTTTTTGGGAAAGCAGCCCATCAAAGGGGAAGAAGCCGCTTGCCTTGGCCAGCGTCTTAGCCGCTGAGCAGAACGGTCTGGTTGAAACCAGCCCGTCAGTCCTGTGGATTGGTGGGTTAGTTTCCTCAACTGCTAGTTTGAACTGCCCCTTCTTTGACTTAGCCCAGAGGTCCCTCACCTTTTGGGCACCAGGGACCGGTTCCGTGGAGAGCGGTTTTTGCGCGGACCGCAGGGTGCGTGGTTTTGTGTCCTGCCTGCATCTCGCGAATGGGGTTTTCCTTGTTTGTGCGGCCCGGTTGCTGGCATGTCATAGACCGGGGGGTTGGGGGGTTGGGGACCCCTGCCTTAGCCCTCCCTCTCTGACATCCTGTCCAGGTTTCAGGCCCAGCAGAATTTGTAAATCATCCCTTTATAGACCCGGCAGGTACTGGAGGTTTTATTGAACAGAATCCTGGCTGGACTTGGCAGCCTCAAGTTTGGGTCCCAGGACCTTTCTTGTTTTTGGTTTCCTGAGAGTTTTTTTTCCCCCTTCCTATTCTGTAGCTTTGCCTAAATTTCTAATGTTCCTGGATTGGCTGGATTTCCTGAACTTTTGTCACTTCTCCCTCACTAGAATCTCCGAAAGATACCAAAGGCAGCGTTAAGCCTTCCCCGTTGCTCGTGCAGGTGGTCAAAAATGCAAAGCGGAAGACCGAAGGGATGAAGCGATTAAGGTCCAAAAGTCCGATTAACGGGTAAGGTTTTGGGGGCTGGAGGCTCCCCTCTGCTTAACGGGAGTCGTGTCGAGGAGCGTTGTTTCCCCCCCCCCTCCAGTTTGGATCCAGATACTTTTTTCTCTCTCCTGCAGGATTTCCCGACCTGGGCCGCTCTAAGAGGCGTGGACCTCAACTCCCAGAATTCATGGGAATTCTGGGAGTTGACGTCCACGCACCTTGAAAGTAGCCCAGGTTGGGGAACCCTGCCGTAGGGAGAACTCCTTTTGAAGATTACCCTCTGCCCTGAAAGTTCATTGACTGGCTGTGAGAAAAAAGAGGGTTAGAAAAAAGAAAAACATCATTTCTCTTATTTGAATTGGCAGCGTTCAGAAAGCGGGCCGCGAGAGCAGGAGTCGCAGTAGAAGCCGAGAGCAGAGCTATTCTCGATCCACTTCGCACTCGCCTTCTCCGAAAAAGAGGTTAGTTCCCGAAAGGCCTGGGGCCCTGCGTGGTTGCTTGTCCCGGCAGTTGCTTTTAAAAGACAAGAACCAGCGAAGGGGTCTTCGTGGTAAAAGTAATTAAGCTGGCACCTGGGGAACGCAAAGCCGGAGGAAAAAGGGGTTTCTTGAGACCAAAGCCTGCAGACAGCGGATTTGGCAGCCCGGCCTATCTCATTGTCCAGCCAGGCAGAGATAGATGGGGCTTTTGCTTGCAGTAATGCAGGGGTCTTCAAACTTGGCAACTTTAAGACTTGTGGACTTCAACTCCCAGAATTCCTCAGCCAGCCCTGAGGGCTGGCTGAGGAATTCTGGGAGTTGAAGTCCACAAGTCATCAAAGGGCCAAGTTTGAAGGCCCCTGCTTTAACCAGTGCAACTGCAGGATGAAACAAACGATTATCCAGGCAAACTCTTCTAATTTTAAAATGTTTTTAAAATCTGCCCCGGCGGGGCCTTTTTGCTTGGCAGCGAGAGGTAAGCCGTCTTCCTTTTCTCCTTCCCCCCCCCCTCCAGGAAAAGCGAAAGCTATTCCACCTCCAGCTGCTCCAAGTCGCACAGCCGTTCGAGGAGCCGCAGCGATTCGCCTCCCCACCAGTTCGGCCACACCGCCTCCAGTTACCAAAGTTCCAAGATGCGAAGCTACAAGAAGGACAAGGGGTACAAGTACGCCTCTCCCAAAGCCCGGCAGTCCCGCAGCCGCAGCTCCTCGAGATCCCGCAGCCGTTCGCGGGAACGGGAGCGCCCCGAGCACACGGGCAAGTACCGGAAGAAGAGCCACTACTGCAGGGATCAAAGGCCCGAGCGGCACCACCCCTACGACAGGCCGAGCCATCGCTACGAGAGAGATCCCCCCGGCCACAGCCGACACCGGAGATGAAGTCAGACACAGCACGGCCAAAGCTCTCCCCCACCCCCTCTCCCTGGCTTCAGCCAAGCCTTTCTTTTGCCTAAGGCTGGACTCTGGAACCTGACAAACACCTTGACTATTTAAGGGCCCGGGTGGCACGGACCGTACACGGGCCAACGATGAGGTTTGAGGGACACACTTTGGCTGCTTCCCCCTTGTCTTGATAGAGGGCTGTTGCTTGTCTGCTGGATTTTGTGTCTGCTTCATGCTGGTGTGATGATGTCCCTTTGAGCTGTCAAAGCAGGAGTGTGGCCTGCCTCCAGATTCTAAGAAAGGAAAACCTCGGAACACTATTCAGAGGGTTGAGATTCTCCCTCCCCCCCCCCTTCTCAATTTTTTAAATATTTCTTCCTCTCTCTCAGAGGATCTTGGAAGATCACCCCAACAACATTGCTAGGTGCTAACAGCATTTTCTCTCTCTCTTTTTTTTTTTGTCATACGGTGAACCTGTCTGCATTTTTATTTTACAGAAGGCGATTCTCGGATTCTTAAAACTTAAGTGCCTATATTAGGCAGCCTTGGAGGGAAAAAGGATCTGATTGCTGAAATGGGAAGGATGGAGGAAAGCTTTAACCCTTTCAGAGTGCAAAATGTGTTTCAAGTAATTTTGGAACTAGGAACCCGCATCCTGAGAATGCAGATTTTACGTTCCTTAACTGGAGGGGTTTTTCCACAGGCCTACTTACTATTATTATTATTGTTATTATTTTTTTATCCCCAGCAGAGAGAACTATGGAATAGTATTTAAATTCCACGAGTTGAAAGTGGGTGTTTGTTTTTTTAAAAAAAAAATCCTGGTGCTGGCCGCCAGTTCTAAGCTGGGGGTGATTTCATAGAGCTTAACCTTTTATGTGGTTTAGGTAATAAAAATTTACTCAGGATCTTTTCAAAAGTCTGGAGAACTGATTGTTTTTGTCTGCTCTTAGCTTGCTGAAGAAAAGGTGTTTATATTAAGAGAGAAATGTATGCAGCACAAGAATATCCGTTTTAGTGGTATATCTGTGCTGTCTTCCTGTTCCTTAATTTCATTAAAGTATTTGATTTTGTATTTAAACAGTTGGACTCGGACTCTTCGACCTGCGTTGAATGGCGGTTTTAGTTTGTGATATGTGTTTTCTTTCTCCCCAGTACCAGATTTTAGCCTAAGCTTCCAATTGTGTCGTTTGTCTTTTACGCAGAGCAGAATGTTGAAGTTTGGTGTCACATTGGATGTAAGGGGCATAGATTTGGTTTCTGAAAAGTTGTTTTTTTTTTTAATAACAGCGCACTTTGCCTTAATGTTTCATTATCCAAAAAATACTTCCACGCTCTGAGTGGTTTTCTGCAGAAAGCACATAACAACAGTTCATAACACACACCTGGCTTTGGCTGATGCCAAAAAACTAAGCAAAGTGGTTTGGTTTTTCTTTTCTTTTTTGGGGGGGACGAGAGCTTGTGTGGATGGAGCAGAGGCCAGGAAGAAGAGTTGGAATTGAATAAAAGGAGAGAAAAGCGAGAGTTTAGTGCGGTGTGTGAACTTGGTATGGCAGCTTCCAGATATTTCTGTGGAAGAATCGCCCTATACTGGCCCTCACAAATGGGATCACAGCCTTTTTGGAAATAATACGGTCCTTCCAAGCAAAAGAGGCCAAACTTCTTTGGCCGTGCACTTTGAGGATGTTCTGACTCTCAAGATTCTTGGCTGGAGCAGACAATGTGAAAATAATTTATTCTACTATTATTAAAGACTCTAGGGTTATTTTCTAGGTTATTTTTAAATCTCTTAATAAACTTCATTTGGTTTTAAAAAGGCATTTCAATGTGACTTCTACGAAATGAACCTTGAACCCTTATCTTCCCTAGACATCTGTGCACTTAATTGTTTCTCCTATTAATGAGTTGAATGACAATGATTTTATATGGCCGTAAATAAAAACACTCCCCAGGCTGGAAGAGAAAATATCAACAGATTTCCAACTCCAAAGTAATTTAACATTATTAGGCCACAATGTAAGCAAACAAACACACTTTTTCCCCCTGGCAGTATCTCTGAATCACAATGTGTATTTTGAGGGCCAAATATGGCTCTAGGCATGCGTATTTTTCCAATGAAACAGATCAAGACAGGAAGATCATTCCCTTTTATAGTTAAGAAAATTATAAAGAGAAAAGTTGGACAGGACAAAAATAACTTCCCCTTTGCATAGGAAATCAGTTAATAGGAATGGAGTTAATAGGAATGTTAGAAGTTATCAATCCATACAGCAATAGAACAAAGAGCCTTCTACATTCCAGTCTGAAATGGTTTGTTACACCGTTAACATCATTTAAAAGAGAAAAATCCAATTAAAATACGAAATAACTATGTTAGTCAGCAAGTACAACAATACTTGCTGTGTGGCTGTCAGTTTAGGGCAAATGGAACTAGTTTCTAACTCATCAGCATTCTTACTGCTGTCAGGGAAGGCAGTAATATTGGAAGACTTTAAACTCTAAAGCCGAGTCTAATTGTCAACTATTCAATAGCAATTAACGTCCGCCCAAATTCCATTAGTTCACAACTGCCACGTAATAGAAGTATCACCTTAAGCTTCTGTTGGGGGGGGGGGGAGATATAAATAATATAATAATATGGGTATATTAGGAAGTGGCAATTATGCAACACTGGAAATCCCTATTGCAAAAAAACCTCTTTTAGTAATATAAGTGTAGGGGGTTTTTTTTGCTGTCATCAACCTGCGCTATTTGATCCCTAGAGGGCAGCAGAGGCAATAATAGAGGAAAGGAATACAGGAGGGGAACCTTCCCTTTACAGCGCGCGTTTCCGGGAGGGACTCGTAAGACAGACGGTCCGAAGCGCCTGACCGGAAGTGCGCTCTCGTATTGTTTCCCCGACTTCAAATTGATGGTAAGCGCCTCGGGAAGGAGGCATGTACGGTTGGGTGTGAGGCCTTTCTGTGGGTGCGTATTTACGTATTTTGTGGGTGGACGTGTGTGTTTGTGAGTATACAAAATCGTAGGGGAGCTTCCTGCCTTTTTCAAAACGGGTCCCGGCCCTTCTGGAAGCCTCGAAGGGCTTTTTGGGGGGGGGGCTCCTTTTGCCCGAAAGGGCCTCAATTCGCGGGGGCTGCCCGGCGTTGGGGTCTCCTCGTTCATCTGACGACCCTCCTCTTCCTTTCTCGTTTTTACTAGCCGGCCTCGACATGCTGGTCTCTCGGCTGACGGCTCCCCTCGTGAGGGCATCGCGGTGTGCAGGTAAAGAGCGGCCTTGGCCGGGAGTGGTGGGGGGGGCAGTGTTTGGGGCCAAAAAGGGCCTTTCCTATCACCTCCTGGCTCCTTTTGCTGGGGAGGAAGAGGTCAGCCATCCTCTGAGTCGGGGGTCTCCAAGCATGGCAACTGGTGGACTTCAACTCCCAGAATTCCTCAGCCAGCCAACTCCGGAGTGGGGAAGTAGATGAGTTGGTGGACTAATAACTGATCCCATCCCCACCCTAAACACTTTCTGTGCCCCCACTCCCCATCTTTTAATCAGAACCTGTGTTTTCATTGCATTTAGATATGTATATGCGTATTATTATTATTTACTGTTTTAATCCAAGCCACCCAGAGTCTCCTCTTGGCAAGTGGGCAGCAAATAAATAAAATAAACAGGAGTGTCACAGTGCAAGTGTTGGAATAGTACCCAGAAAACGGTGGTGTTAGAAAGCAGCTTTTAGTCCACCCTGAGCCATGGAAGCTCACGACGACTGATGAGGAATTCTGGGAGTTGAAGTCCATGAGGCTTAAGGTGGTCAAGGTTGGAGACCCCTGCTCTAAATTGCATTAGTTTTGGTGACTGTAAGGACACTAGGGAAATGGAGCCCGGCTTCCCCATCGACTTTGCTTGTCAGAAGGTCGCAAAAGGTGATCACATGGCCCTGGGAGACAGCAACCGCCGTAAATATGAAGCCAAGCATTTGAATGTTGATCACGTGACCATGGAGGTTCTCTAATGGTCATCACTGTGAAAAGCAGCCGTTATAACTTCGAACGGTCACTAAACGAATTATTGTAAGTTGAGGATTACCTGTATAAACATTCTCACAAATACCTGTTTATGAATTTTGTTCCCACTTGTCCTTAGGGTGCTTCCTGTCGAGACCATCTGTTGTCCTTCCACCTCCTAGAGCAGCTGTTCTAGCAAGTTACAGCACACATCCGTCGAGCAAAAATGGAACCCGGCCCCACCAGTGGTTTGCACTGGACCCTGAGCTAGAGGAAATGCTGGTCCCTCGCAAGATGTCCATCTCCCCTCTTGAAAGCTGGCTGACGGTTCAGTATTTCCTCCCTAAAACCGGAGGCATCATAAACATTCACGAGAGGAACAGTCCCCGGCCACTCCAACAGTATGATCTCCCTGCTCCTTCCAGGGGCACTGAGGCAGAGGAGGAAGAGGAGGCAGAACAAGGAGGGGAGATGAACCGGCCCAGAATGGAATGCAGAAACATTTTGAAGATCCGGAGGAGAAAGATGAATAGGCACAAGTACAAGAAGCTGATGAAACGTACAAAGTTTTCACGGAGAAAAGTCTTGGAGAAGCGGATGTGGCGGAAACAGGTGAGTTGGGCAGGTAACGAAGAGGCCCATCGACCTCTAGGTGAAGAGCATTTGTGGCCAAATGTGATTAAGACACACAGGGAATTTGTCTCCAGTGCAGAAGCTCTCAGTATAGATGCAAACCAACAGAGTAATAATAATCATAATAATGATACCAATAAGAGGGGCTAGTAGAGAAGATGAGGAGGATAATACTACAGCCATACAACATGGGTAAATTTACTTAGACATAAGACAGTACTGTGTTTAGCAGAGTGATAGCTTGAGGGAAAAAACTGTCTCTGTTTCCAGTTGTTTTTAGTTGTTATACCCAGGAACATGATAATACAAGATCATAACCTAAACTCAGACTGTGTGCCGTGTATTCTGTGGTTTAGAGAGCATCGTTTCCAAGCTAGACTTTTGTTTTCTGTTTTTCCTTTATAGAAAAAA